TATATATATATGGACAAGTGAACATAATAGTTAATTATTAATTGATATATTAATATTAACTTTATGTATTAATTATTATTAGTTATGTAATAATGATTACTATTATAATTATGCTATTATGTATTAAATAGCTCATTCATCTGCTCTTCTCTGTGCTGAAACTTAATGCATACTGTTCTAAAGCAACTTTACAAGAATAGTGCAATGTCAAGGCATTGTTTAACACTGATACTTGAATACATCTATGACCAGCTTTAAACTTTAATCATTGTTATGAACACATCTATGAAGTATATTTTTCTGTTACCTGGTATTCATTCTTAAATTACTAGTATGTAATCCAATAGTGACTACTATCTTTCTGAATTATACTATACAAATAGATACTAGTACTTATTCCAAAAGAGATTATCACTTCAGTTAGTGACATTACTACTTGTCATTATCCCAATAGTGACTAGTAACTATTCCATTGTAACCTGTAACATAATTTATTGTAATTTTAATTTCCCAGATTTAATTCTGTGTAGATGTTGTTCATATCAACTATTCATTTCCAACTAGTATGTATTCCAGTTGTTGTTGCTGGTACTTATTTTTACTAGTAGATATTTCTAGGAGCTATTTATATATTACAGTTTTACTAGCTTTTTTTAAACAGGTATTTATTCAACAGTAGTGTAGCTACTAAAACGAGTACCTAATAAATAGCTACTAATGAAATGGAAACAGATGTCTGTATCTGTTGAATTAATTAATAATTAAGTAGCAATAGATATTAATCCTTTAGACGTAATATTTAAATGTCATAACACCTTCATTTATTTATTTTTTTATTTACTGTTATTAAGTTAGGAAATTAATTTGTTTTCATATTTCCCAGTTTAAACTTTTAAGAGGATTAAAATAATATCAAAAACCAAGCAACAGCAATGTAAAGAATAACAACGAATTCAAGATTATTGTGATTTAAAAACTTATTTCAGTTGTATTAATAACAAAAAAAAATCAGCGTTTAGGTTTTTAGATGATTGAAGGGTACGTGTGTGACTTATGCAAAGTAGTGCTCTGGATCATAAATGTGGAATGGTAAGAATGTGCAGAAGTGTCTTTCACACTGAACTGTTACCTCTAAGGGTCTGAACCTGGAGGTGCCACAACAGGCTCTTCAGTCCTTGAACTGAAGGGGTTTTTGAGCTGAATGTATTTAGGTTATACCTGCAG